CACTCACCCACCCACTCACTCACCCACTCACTCACACACTCACTCACTCACCCACTCACACACTCACCCACCCACTCACACACTCACCCACTCACACACTCACCCACCCACTCACACACTCACCCACCCACTCACACACTCACTCACCCACCCACTCACCCACCCACTCACTCACCCACTCACTCACTCACACACTCACTCACCCACCCACTCACTCACCCACTCACTCACACACTCACTCACCCACTCACTCACCCACTCACTCATCCACCCACCCATTCACTCACTCACCAACCCACCCACTCACTCACCAACTCACTCATCCACCCACTCACTCATTCACCCACCCACTCACTCACTCATCCACCCACTCACTCATTCACCCACAGACTCACTCACTCATTCACCCACACACTCACTCACCCACTCACTCACCCACCCACCCACTCACTCACCCACCCACTCACTCACACACTCACTCACTCACCCACCCACCCACTCACTCACCCACTCACACACTCACTCACCCACTCACTCACCCACCCACTCACCCACCCACTCACACACTCACTCATTCACCCACCCACCCACCCACTCACTCACCCACCCACTCACCCACCCACTCACCCACTCACTCACTCACCCACCCACTCACACACTCACGCACTCACTCACCCACCCACTCACTCACCCACTCACACACTCACCCACCCACTCACACACTCACTCACCCACTCACTCACTCACCCACCCACTCACACACTCACTCACCCACTCACTCACTCACCCACTCACTCACCCACCCACTCACTCACCCACTCACACACTCACCCACCCACTCACACACCCACTCACTCACCCACTCACACACTCACCCACTCACCCACCCACTCACCCACTCACCCACCCACTCACTCACCCACTCACTCACCCACTCACTCACTCACCCACCCACTCACACACTCACCCACCCACTCACACACTCACCCACTCACACACTCACTCACCCACTCACTCACCCACCCACTCACCCACCCACCCACTCACTCACCCACTCACTCACTCACCCACTCACTCACTCACACACTCACTCACTCACCCACCCACTCACTCACTCAAACACTCACTCACTCACCCACTCACACACTCACCCACCCACTCACACACTCACCCACTCACTCACTCACCCACTCACTCACTCACTTACCCACCCACTCACACACTCACCCACCCACTCACACACTCACCCACTCACACACTCACCCACCCACTCACACACTCACCCACTCACACACTCACTCACCCACCCACTCACCCACCCACTCACTCACCCACTCACTCACACACTCACTCACCCACCCAATCACTCACCCACTCACTCACACACTCACTCACTCACCCACTCACACACTCACTCACCCACCCACTCACCCACCCACTCACTCACCCACTCACTCACACACTCACTCACTCACCCACTCACTCACCCACTCACTCATCCACCCACCCATTCACTCAATCACCAACCCACCCACTCACTCACCAACTCACTCATCCACCCACCCACTCACTCATTCACCCACTCACTCACTCATCCACCCACTCACTCATTCACCCACACACTCACTCACCCACTCACTCATTCACCCACACACTCACTCACCCACTCACTCACCGACCCACTCACCGACCCACTCACTCACCCACCCACTCACTCACACACTCACTCACTCACCCACTCACTCACTCACCCACTCACACACTCACTCACCCACTCACTCACCCACCCACTCACCCACCCACTCACACACTCACTCATTCACCCACCCACCCACTCACTTACCCACCCACTCACCCACCCACTCACCCACTCACTCACTCACCCACCCACCCACTCACACACTCACGCACTCACTCACCCACCCACTCACTCACCCACTCACACACTCACCCACCCACTCACACACTCACTCACCCACTCACTCACTCACCCACCCACTCACACACTCACTCACCCACTCACTCACACACTCACTCACCCACCCACTCACTCACCCACTCACACACTCACCCACCCACTCACTCACCCACTCACACACTCACCCACCCACTCACACACTCACTCACCCACTCACTCACTCACCCACCCACTCACACACTCACTCACCCACTCACCCACCCACTCACCCACCCACTCACCCACTCACCCACCCACTCACCTACCCACCCACTCACCCACCCACTCACCCACTCACTCACTCACACACTCACCCACCCACTCACCCACTCACTCACTCACACACTCACCCACCCACTCACCCACTCACTCACACACTCACTCACCCACCCACTCACTCACCCACTCACACACTCACCCACCCACTCACACACCCACTCACTCACTCACCCACCCACCCACTCACCCACCCACTCACTCACCCACTCACTCACCCACTCACTCACCGACCCACTCACTCACCCACCCACTCACACACTCACTCACTCACCCAATCACTCACTCACCCACTCACACACTCACTCACCCACTCACTCACCCACCCACTCACCCACCCACTCACACACTCACTCATTCACCCACCCACTCACTCACCCACCCACTCACCCACCCACTCACCCACTCACTCACCCACCCACTCACACACTCACGCACTCACTCACCCACCCACTCACACACCCACTCACACACTCACCCACCCACTCACACACTCACTCACCCACTCACTCACTCACCCACCCACTCACACGCTCACTCACCCACTCACTCACACACTCACTCACCCACTCACTCACTCACCCACTCACACACTCACCCACCCACTCACACACCCACTCACTCACCCACCCACTCACTCACCCACCCACTCACTCACCCACTCACTCACTCACCCACTCACTCACCCACCCACTCACACACTCACCCACCCACTCACACACTCACCCACTCACTCACCCACCCACTCACCCACCCACTCACTCACTCACCCACTCACTCACCCACTCACTCACTCACCCACTCACCCACCCACTCACTCACTCATCCACTCACTCACTCACCCACCCACTCACTCACCCACACACTCACTCACCCACCCACTCACACACTCACCCACTCACTCACCCACCCACTCACCCACCCACTCACCCACCCACTCACCCACTCACCCACCCACTCACCTACCCACCCACTCACCCACCCACTCACCCACTCACTCACTCACACACTCACCCACCCACTCACCCACTCACTCACTCACACACTCACCCACCCACTCACACACTCACTCACACACTCACCCACTCACTCACACACCCACCCAACCACTCACCCACCCACTCACTCACCCACTCACTCACCCACTCACTCACCCACTCACTCACACACTCACCCACTCACTCACCCACTCACCCACTCACACACTCACAAACTCACCCACCCACTCACTCACCCACTCACTCACTCACCCACTCACTCACTCACCTACCCACTCACACACTCACTCACCCACTCACCCACCCACTCACCCACTCACTCACCCACTCACCCACTCACTCACTCACCACTCACCCACTCACTCACTCACCCACCCACTCACCCACTCACTCACCTACCCACTCACACACTCACCCACCCACCCACTCACCCACTCACTCACCCACCCACTCACCCACCCACCCACTCACCCACTCACTCACCCACCCACTGGTACTGTACAGTGTCAGTGTGTCACCTAGCCTGGTACTGTACAGTGTCAAGGCACTACGCTGTATTCTACGTAGCGAAAAAGCCGAGAAGAGTAACATTTAACTTCTTTGCTTCTGTCATTTAAATAAAATTGTTAAAATATTTAAATTGTGAAAAAATATTTAAAAAAAATATTTTTTTTGTTAAATTAAAAAAAAATTTCCACGACGTTTCGATCGCTACACAAGCGGTCGTAATTTTTTTTATAATTATTATTATTTTAATTGTTTCTACCTCCCCGTGACTTCACCGAAAGAACCGTGGACTAAGAATTCCTGCGGTTAATAAAAGTTTAAAAAGTTAAAACTCGACTCCTTTGCAGCCGTCTTCAACAGAGTTGCAAATGCACAGGAAGTGACGACATCCTCCACCTTCATCCCCCCCAGAAGCCCCTCCCCCCTATGGCTAAGCCACCTCCCCCTAGCGCTAAGCCCCGCCTCATTCAAGCAAGCCCCTCCTCCTTCTTCGCCCAAGTCCCTCCCCCGAACCCCCACTCCCCCCAAGTCCCTCCCACCGTCTTGCAAGCCCCATCATGCCCCCTCACCCGCAGGAAGTGACGTTGACACCCCCTCACCCCCTTCCCCCCTCCTCCGCAGGAAGTGACGTTCACATACCCCACCCCCTCACCCCTCCCCCCACTCACCCCTCACCCACAGGAAGTGACGTTATCACCACGCCTCCTTCCCCACCCCTCACCCCTCACCCACAGGAAGTGACGTTACACCCCACCCCTCGCCCACTCACCTCTCACCCACAAGTAAGCGGCGGCCCCCAACCCCTCCCCCACAGGAAGTGACGTCACGACAACGCCCCCCCCTTCCCCACCCCCTCACCCGCAAAAAGCGGCGGCCCCAACCCCTTCCTCACAGGAAGTGACGTCCCGACAACGCCCCCCCTTCCCCACCTTTCACCCACAGGAAGTGACTGCCCCAACCCCTCCCCCACAGGAAGTGACGTCCCGACCACGCTCCCCTTCCCCACACCCCCTCACCCACAGGAAGTGGCGACCCCCACCCCTCTCCCCCACAGGAAGTGACGTCCCGACAACGCCCCCCTTCCCTACCTTTTACCCACACGAAGTGACTGCCCCAACCCCTCCCCCACAGGAAGTGACGTCCCGACCACGCCCCCTTCCCTACCTTTCACCCACACGAAGTGACTTCCCCAACCCCTCCCCCACAGGAAGTGACGTCAAAACAACGCCCCCCTCCCCCACACCCCCTCACCCACAGGAAGTGGCGACCCCCCACCCCTCTCCCGCACAGGAAGTGACGTCAGGACGGCCTTGGCGCGCTCCACGCGGCGCCGTTAGAAATCGCGAAGCGGAATTCTCCTCAGAGGAGCGGCGGCGACTCATCAAGAAGCACGCAGAGCGAGGTAATAATAATTATTACTTATACACTATTACTTATATACTTCTACTTATACAGTATTATTACTACTTATACATAGTACTATTACTTATACATAGTACTAGCTAGATAGTACTACTAGCTAGCTAGATAGATACTACTATTACTAGCCTCAAGCACGCAGAGCGAGGTAATAATAATTATTACTTATACACTATTACTTATATACTTCTACTTATACAGTATTATTACTACTTATACATAGTACTATTACTTATACATAGTACTAGCTAGATAGTACTACTAGCTAGATAGATAGATACTACTATTACTAGCCTCAAGCACGCAGAGCGAGGTAATAATAATTATTACTTATACACTATTACTTATATACTTCTACTTATACAGTATTATTACTACTTATACATAGTACTATTACTTATACATACTACTAGATAGATAGACAGTACTATTAGCCTCAAGAAGCACGCACAGCGAGGTAATAATAATAAAACTTTACTAATTATTACTTATATACTATTACTTATACAGTATTATTACTACTTATACATAGTACTATTACTTATACATAGTACTACTAGATAGATAGATAGTACTATTAGCCTCAAGAAGCACGCACAGCGAGGTAATAATAATAAAACTTTACTAATTATTACTAATTATATACTATTACTACTTATACACTATGATTACTTATACATAGTACTATTACTTATACATAGTACTAGCTAGATAGTACTACTAGCTAGATAGATACTACTACTAGCTAGATAGATACTACTATTACTAGCCTCAAGCACGCAGAGCGAGGTAATAATAATTATTACTTATACACTATTACTTATATACTTCTACTTATACAGTATTATTACTACTTATACATAGTACTATTACTTATACATACTACTAGATAGATAGACAGTACTATTAGCCTCAAGAAGCACGCACAGCGAGGTAATAATAATTAAACTTTTACTAATTATTACTTATATACTATTACTTATACAGTATTATTACTACTTATACATAGTACTATTACTTATACATAGTACTAGCTAGATACATAGTACTACTAGCCTCAAGAAGCACGCACAGCGAGGTAATAATAATTATTATCACTTATATACTATTACTTATATACTTATACACTATGATTACTACTTATACATAGTACTATTACTTATACATAGTACTACTAGCTAGCTAGATAGTACTACTAGCTAGATAGTACCACACACAGTGAGGTAATAATAAAACTAATTATTACTAATTATATACTACTTATACACGATTATTACTACTTATACTACCTATACATAGTACTATTACTTATACATAGTACTAGCTAGATAGATAGTACTAGCTAGATAGATACTACTAGATAGATAGATACTACTATTACTAGCCTCAAGCACGCAGAGCGAGGTAATAATAATAATAAAACTTTACTAATTATTACTAATTATACACTATTACTACTTATACACTATGATTACTTATACATAGTACTATTACTTATACATAGTACTAGCTAGATAGATAGTACTACTAGCTAGATAGATACTACTATTACTAGCCTCAAGCACGCAGAGCGAGGTAATAATAATTATTACTTATACATTACTACTTATATAGTATTATTACTACTTATACATAGTACTATTACTTATACATAGTACTAGCTAGATAGATAGTACTAGTTAGATACATAGTACTAGCTAGCTAGTACTACTAGTAGCTAGCTAGATAGTACTACTTCTGCTAGCCTCAAGAAGCACGCAGAGCGAGGTAATAATAATTAAACTTTACTAATTATTATTACTTATACATTACTACTTATACAGTATTATTACTACCTATACATAGTACTATTACTTATACATACTACTAGATAGATAGTACTAGTAGCTAGCTAGATAGTACTATTACTAGCCTCAAGAAGCACGCAGAGCGAGGTAATAATAATAATTATTATTACTAATTATTACTTATATACTTATACACTATTTATACATAGTACTACTAGCTAGATAGTACTACTTACATAGTACTATTACTACTCATACGTAGTACTACTAGCTAGATAGTACTACTACTAGCCTCAAGTAGCACGCAGAGCGAGGTAATAATAAAACTATTACTAATTATTACTTATATACTACTACTTATATAGTATTATTACAACTTATACATAGTACTATTACTTATACATAGTACTAGCTAGATAGTACTACTACTAGTAGTAGCACACAGTGAGGTAATAATAAACTATTTACTAATTTTATACTATTACTTATACACTATTATTACTACTTATACATAGTACTATTACTTATACATAGTACTAGCTAGATAGATAGTACTAGCTAGATACATGTAGTACTAGCTAGCTAGTACTACTAGTAGCTAGCTAGATAGTACTTCTGCTAGCCTCAAGAAGCACGCAGAGCGAGGTAATAATAATTAAACTTTACTAATTATTATTACTTATACATTACTACTTATACAGTATTATTACTACCTATACATAGTACTATTACTTATACATACTACTAGATAGATAGTACTAGCTAGCTAGATAGATACTACTGCTAGCCTCAAGAAGCACGCAGAGCGAGGTAATAATAATAAAACTTTACTAATTATTATTACTTATACATTACTACTTATACAGTATTATTACTACCTATACATAGTACTATTACTTATACATACTACTAGATAGATAGTACTAGTAGCTAGCTAGATAGTACTATTACTAGCCTCAAGAAGCACGCAGAGCGAGGTAATAATAATAAAACTTTACTAATTATTATTACTTATACATTACTACTTATACAGTATTATTACTACCTATACATAGTACTATTACTTATACATACTACTAGATAGATAGTACTAGCTAGCTAGATAGTACTACTACTGCTAGCCTCAAGAAGCACGCAGAGCGAGGTAATAATAATTAAACTTTACTCATTATTATTACTTATACATTACTACTTATACAGTATTATTACTACCTATACATAGTACTATTACTTATACATACTACTAGCTAGATAGTACTACTAGCTAGATAGATAGTACTATTACTAGCCTCAAGAAGCACGCAGAGCGAGGTAATAATAATTATTATTACTAATTATTACTTATATACTTATACACTATTTATACATAGTACTACTAGCTAGATAGTACTACTTACATAGTACTATTACTACTCATACGTAGTACTACTAGCTAGCTAGTACTACTACTAGCCTCAAGTAGCACGCAGAGCGAGGTAATAATAAAACTATTACTAATTATTACTTATATACTACTACTTATATAGTATTATTACAACTTATACATAGTACTATTACTTATACATAGTACTAGCTAGATAGTACTACTACTAGCACACAGTAAGGTAATAATAAACTATTTACTAATTATATACTATTACTTATACACTATTATTACTACTTATACATAGTACTATTACTTATACATAGTACTAGCTAGATAGTACTACTACTAGTAGTAGCACACAGTGAGGTAATAATAAACTATTTACTAATTATATACTATTACTTATACACTATTATTACTACTTATACATAGTACTAGCTAGATAGATAGTACTGGTTAGTAGTACTACTAGCTAGATAGTACTACTACTACTAGCCTCTAGTACCACACACAGTGAGGTAATAATAATACTATTACTAATTATTACACTGCTACTTATACTATTATACTATTACTACTTATACATAGTACTACTAGCTAGATAGTACTACTACTAGCCTCAAGTAGCATGCACAGCGAGGTAATAATACTATTACTAATTATATACTACTTATACTATTACTATTATTACTACTTATACATAGTACTATTACTTATATATAGTACTAGCTAGCTAGATAGTACTAGCTAGATAGTACTACTACTACTAGCCTCTAGTACCACACACAGTGAGGTAATAATAATACTATTACTAATTATATATTACTACTTATATACTATTATTACTACTTATACATAGTACTATTACTTATACATAGTACTAGCTAGATAGATAGCACTAGCTAGATAGTACTACTACTAGCCTCAAGTAGCACACACAGTGAGGTAATACTACTACTAACATACTATTATTACTTATACTACTACTTGTACATAGTACTATTACTACTTATACATAGTACTATTACTACTTATACATAGTACTACTAGCTAGCTACTACAACTACTGCTAGCTAGCTAGTACTACTACTAGCCTCAAGTAGCACACACAGTGAGGTAATACTACAACTACTTATACACTATTATTACTTATACATAGTACTATTATTACTTATACATAGTACTATTACTACTTATACATAGTACTATTATTACTTATACATAGTACTATTATTACTTATACATAGTACTATTATTACGTATACATAGTACTATTACTACTTATACATAGTACTATTATTACGTATACATAGTACTATTATTACTTATGCATAGTACTATTACTACTTATACATAGTACTACTACTACTAGCTAGTACTACTAGCTAGTAGTACTATTATTATTACTAGCTAGTAGTAGTAGTACTAGCCTCAAGTAGCACGCACAGTGAGGTAATACTACAACTAGTATTATTACTTATACATAGTACTAGCTAGATGGCACTACTACTACTTACATAGTACTATTACTACTCATACATAGTACTACTAGCTAGATAGTACTACTAGCCTCAAGTACCACACACAGCAAGGTGATACTACAACTACTTACATACTATTATTACTACTATTACATAGTACTACTAGCTAGCTAGATACTACTACTACTAGCCTCAAGTACCACACACAGCGAGGTGATACTACAACTTCTACTACACACAGAGAGACACAGATACACACACAGACACACACAGAGACTCACAGAGAGACACACAGAGACACACAGAGACACACAGAGACTCACAGAGAGCCACACAGAGATGCACAGAG